ATTTACTAAAATTTATGGAATCCAAAATTTTACTTAAATATATATCAAAGGAATATGTCAATGATAGTTATTTAGTTTTTACTAAGATTTTAAAGAGATTTACATGTGCCCTACGTTTCACTATTTAAATAAAAAATTGAAAATTTATAATAGTGGAAGTTGATAACCAGAGAATAACTTTATAAAATATATAATATAAAAATATATACCATATAAGAATATAAAATATTCTTTGGTGATAACCGTAAGTGCTTCTGTTCTGTTCGTAAGTGCTTCTGAAGCAGCGCAGCAGCTGAATATTTACAAAAATCAAATTTGTTGTCTTACAGGGTAAGTCAGTTAAAAAGCTTTTTAAAATATTTATAAAAAAATTTTTTTTTTAATTATTTTGAATTTAAATGCAAAATAGCAAAATTGATAATAAAATTGTTGTTTATTAATTATATGTTACAGTATTTAATAAGATTTTAAACTTTTGGTATATATAAAATATAATAATTAATAATAAAATATTTTTAGTTTATATTTTTATTTATTTATATTAATGTATAATCAATAACAAATATCTTGTATATTTATTTTAATATATACAATATAAAATTTTAAACGGCAGGTGATGAGCATAGTCGAAAAAGTTTTTGCCTATAAGTTCAAGTAGCGGAGCAGTTGAGTTTCAATTGATTAAAGAATTTTACCCGTTATTGTCATACAGGGTACAAATATTAATGAAATAGAAAATGTTTTATAATTTTTTTGTGAATTTACATAAAAACCACTTGAATTGGTATGGAGATATTAACATATTGATTAACATATTGATATATATACATTTGAATTTATTGTTGTGTATATAAATCAACAAACTGATATATTGCTATATTGATATCATGCAAACATAATTTTATACATTTTTATATTGGTATATTGATAATTTGATATTTTGATATGGAGATATATTGTTATATTGATATATTTAGATATTAATATGTAAATATGTTGACGTTTTTAGAACATTTTTTATTATTGTAACACAAATATAAAAAGTTTGGGTACTAAGTTTAAACCTTCAGTTATAATCCATAATTAACCGAAATGAAGGCAATTATTTAATAAATTAATAAAACTAATAGGCAAATAAAATGATATCTTAAGTTAGCTGGATTAGCGAACTTTAGTTGTCACTTTAGAAACCAGTTTTAAAATTTTTATTCATATATATTAATGTAATCAATGTCTGTGATTTATAGTCACCTATGATTTGTCACTATTTAGTAAATATATAGTTATTTATCACAATTTCACAAATGAGCTCGTACATAATATCACAAAAATATTTAAAAAAACTACATTGCCGCATGTAGTGTGCTTTAACTGTAATAGAATTTCTATTGTATCTTTTATTACTCAAATATGTTTTATGTCAAAAGTGTTCAAGTTTAAATTGCAGTTTAGAGTTTATAAAATGTTAAATATTTGTCGTCAATTATATTTTCAGCAATTTTAAAAGTGTCACAACGAGTCTCAAGATTTATTTCATTTTTCTATAAAGCAATATTTTTCATTGCATTATTTGAATGCAACTAAAAATATAGAGAGTATACAAATATTTTAGTTATGCATATACTTCGTAATATCAGTAAAATTAAATAAATATTATACTATACATTAAATCTTATTATACTATACATTAAATAAATAATAATAAGAAATTGTTATATTTATTAATAGTTGTTCCAAAATAACAAGAAATAAACAGATACCTTGTAGCCTTAGGGTGGCTCAGAAAAACTAAAATGCGATTTTTAATGAGCGCACCCCCTAGGAATATGCCATTGACCTTAAAAATGATATTCCCAAAGTTTTGGAACAATAGGATTAAAAATGACGTTGCGCCACTCGAGCAAAGTTGGGTTTTCAGTACAAAAAACAGAAATTTTTCATTTCGAGGTGATTTTTTATCTTTTTTCTTGTTTCAACAGTTATTAATATATACTCATTTGATAGATAATTAAAATATCTTTTTAATAAGATACGGATGAGCAAAATCGATGAAAAATTATGCGCAAAACACAATAATTAGTTGGGCGACTGTGCTCTGTTTTCTATTTCATAACTTTTAGATGGCTTGCACAATTACGTAATAGGTATATGCTACGATTTAGTTAATTATTTATAAAAAATTATAATTTCAAGAAAACTTTTTTTTTCAGTAATTAATATATTGTGTTTGTTATGTTTTATAACATAAATCTGACTATGTGAAGGACAATTTTTATGATAATGTTCGACTACTTGCAGAACATATTGTTTTTCCTCTTCATATTTTGTCAAAATCGAATTATAATCCATCATAAGCCTAATTTCTCTTTCTATACAATCATTTATCATATGAAGTCTGGCACAGAATTCAAGTGCATCTCTATAATCTTGCGTCTCCATCCATGGCGAAGGATCGAAACTGATAAAACTATAAGAAAGGCAAAAACGATCCAAGAAATTTGTTATTTCGTCGGTCACAAAATCAATAAGGTTCTTTGCGGAAAATAACTTCATTAGTGGGTTCCCACTCTTTATCTAACCAGAGATAGCTGAGAGCTTGGATCTATGACCGGTAACTCTACAGTTACTATCTGTGCAGATGGCTCAAAGATGGAAGGCGGTACGGGAGCAGGTATCTTCTCGAAAGATATGCAGATAAGACAGTGCTACCG